ACCAAATTGGCGTTCCGAAGGTGTCAAGAGTATGACCGATAAGTACCAAAATAATTCTGAAATTCTGATTTTATAAAAATAAAATTCTGACTAAATTCTGACTTATTTAAAGGATGCAATGGAATATGCTTTGACTAACCACATTGCTTCCACCCCCACACTTAATGCACAGGAGAGGGCAGACGCTACAAGGGGTAATTTGGAAAATTAAATTCCAGAAAAATTTTTTTTCCTAAAGTTTGGCGGCAATTAGCACATTATATTATTGTACATATGAAATATGGTTATTTGGCAAAAGAGATCCAAAATAATAAAGAAGGGGTAAAAACATCAGTATCAGAAACTTCCTCAATTAAGCATAGTCAAAGTGATGCTATTTTGTAAATTTTTTTTTGTCAAAATTATATTATATTTCTTTTTTTATTAAATAAAAATTAATAGATAACAATGTTTGAACTGAAGGCTGCAAAAAGGTCAATATTAGGGGGGAAGTAAGGCACATAAACCTAAAAAAATTTATATAAGAAAATTTCTTTTACTTAACAAAGTAATCAAGTAATTCCTACGTTTTTAAAATTTTCAGTGGAATCTCTAACTCAAAATTTTTTTAATTTCCCAGTATGACAAGTCTCAGACCCATTTATTTCATATTTTGGATATTAATGTTTCAATTAAACCTATTTTATTCATCTAATTTGCTCCTTAGCCCTCCCCCACTTAATTCCCAAAACCCACAACCGATATTCCGAAGGTGTCAAGAGACAAGGAAAATCTGAGCGCTTAACTAATAAACAAATTAAAAAAGATTTGAGTATGTTTTCCTTTATTTGTTAATTTTATACTCAAATAAGAATTTTAACTAATTCACCATCAAATAACGACAAAACGGAGCAGTTACCGTCTAAATATAAATTTTGTCGGTCAAATTGTTATTATTATTTGCAGATTTCATAATTAAATTTCTTAATAAAAATTAAAAGCGGATTTGCCGCTTAAATTCGATTAATGTGAATTCACGTGAATGGAGTTTGTTATGGCATTGACTATTTTGCCCTTTTCTTTTTATCATTTCCGCTCTTTCAAAATTTTATTTTCGTTAAAGTGCATCATTAAAAGGGCATGGATGTAAATAAATTTTAATAGGCGGCTAATTTTTAAAGCGATGGCTGCTTATTTAAGTGGCAATAAATCCGCCATTCTTAAAAATTATTTTAAATAAACAACATCTCTCTTTAGTAACTTTCCTTAAATTTTTTTAAACTTATGTTAAAAATATTATTTTAAAAATTCGAAGGAGGGGGGGGGGGCTTTTCATTTATTATTTAATTGTCTTGATAAGTAATACTTCATTGAATGATCGAAGTCAAAATAAAAGTCGAAGCTTATAAGAAGACATGCCCCTATTGATGGAAGAGTGCCTACATCGGGTGATACTAAATATTTGTTGCTGATTGGAAGCAATTTGGAAGCATTCTATTAAATTCTATATTAATTTTAATAATTTTTTTAGAAATTTTTAAAATTAAATTAACACAAACAAACATCCAAAAAATGTTAATTTCAATTAAATTAACAATTCCTTTCTTTTCATTAATTTTATTTCCTTCAATTTTAACTTTAAAACCCCCTAACAACGAATTAATTGAACTTGTTCACGAATTTATGGGGTTACCAAAGGAAGAAGTTCAAAAACTTTATAACAATTGTGTGTATCTGAATGATATGTTTGTTCATATAGGCCGAAATCCAAAAAAATTGGATTATAAATATGTTAGTTTATTTAAAATTAAATTATTGGACATATTTTTGGTTGAAATTTAGTCAAAATTTAATTACTCATATAATGCTAGGCTGGTCTACTCTAATATAGGTAAGCTAGGAGACCCATTGAGCAGTTTGTAGACGTAAGCAGCAGTTTGTAGACGTAACGAACTATAATATTATCCGCCTTTGTGGGTGGTTCACATTATAAATTATTCTTACATTTGTCATTCTCATTAAGTCTGGTAAATTTTCCATGATGATAAAACTTTGGCAGATATATGTAATAAAAAATAATTTCTTATTTTAATATTGTAGCACCTTGACCTCATTGCTCGTACATTAATTGCAAAGGGGGTTAAAGCTGAGGAAATCGAATATAAGCTCAATAAAATGAATCATGAAAAAGCATACAAAATATTGTCTGATTATGGCAAACATTGTAAACAAAAAATAAACGATATTGAAGAGGAAGTGAAAGTAAAAGCTGTCGTATGTTTTATTTAACTTTTTTCAATTTTGATTCAAACTCCCTCTTTTTTATTCCTCTCTTTCCTTCATCCTGGATCTTGTGCTAAATGTCTAATGGTCATTAAAGCATAATGGCGGTGGATTAATGGCCATGGCTTCCTTCCATCTAAATCTAGGGAAGCTAGATCAATTTTGTCAGAAAATAAGAAAAAGTTGACCTCCAAAATTATCATTTTCCTAAATAACATAATACTGGTATTGTAAGGATGATTCACCTAGAACATTTAAAAGCTTAGGCGGGGGTTAAACGAAAGAGAAAGTTCTAAAGTTCTAAAAGCATAAAAGAGAAAGTTCGATACCACGGTAGCTCAGTGGTAGAGCTCCTGTATATGATGAGCGAAAGCGCTATCAATAACAGTCAGGCCAGAGTAAAACAATTTATTTTAAGGAGGAAATAGGCCGAATGGGTTTAGAAAAGGCTGTGCCCTACTCTTCTTTGCCAAAAAATGAAACAAAATGTGCATTCTGTCAGAAAGAATTGAAAGATGAGGAATATGTTATGGAGGTTAAATGCAAACATATTCTTCATCTGGATTGCATCAAGACGTTGACTAGTTCAAATGACCGCACTACAAAATACTTTTGCCCCAAATGTCAGGATAAATTAATTGATGTTTCCGAAGACAGTGATTACAAAAAACTTATCACGAGAATTGAAAAATCCGGTCTTATTTGATGTAATTGAAAATTTTTAATTTTAATCTGTTATAATCCACCAAAATATATACATAGATTGTAGCCTTAACTAAATTAATCTACTCAGAAATTTTTACTATTTTTTGCTTTTGTGAACTTTTTTGTTGCTTAGATCCTACAATCTGGGCTTCAAACAGCTTTTTGATCTTTTTAAACGAATTTGGATGTTTTAGTAAAATTTCTGGGATAATTTGCCCATATTATTAGTTGCCTAATTTCTTTTGATAATCTAAAAAATTTTATGAATTCAATACAAGTTTCCCTATATGGTTTGGACTTTTGAAATTATTTCTGAGATAGGTCGGATTGAAAAAAAAGTCAGGGGGGTTTCAGATGGGGTTCGGATAATGTAGCCTACCCATGTAACGGATCTAGTTATAGTTGATCAATTTTCGATTTTTTACAATTTTGATCAAAAAAATTCCCAGGAATGAGTAACAGTGAAATTGATCAACTGGAAGTTGAAAAACAATTTATTAATATCAGTTTTAGATAAGATTCGTATTTTTTCGTTTGGTGATCAAAATTCCAAAAAATTGGTGACCAAAATTCCAGTGACCACCAAAAACACCCTAAATCTTTTTTAATTTTTTTATAGAGTTGGTCGAGGTCAAGGTCTTTTTTAAAAACAGGGGCAGAGGATTGCAAAAGTTGGAAAGGCCGAGATTGAGGTCTAGGAGCAGATTTGCGGAAATGTCCGAGGTTGAAGATAACTGAGGCAAGGTCTTGATCTTGACCAACTTTATCTTATCAGACGTATTTCGAGCTTAAATTACGAGAAAAAAGAAAAATTAAAAAAAAACAAAAAAAAATCAGAAAAATTAAAACCCATAAAAATAAAAAATTAAATAAAAAAATCCAAAAAATTTTAATCTTTCATTTTATTCCCTTTTTGTATTAATTTTGTTTTTGTCTGTTTTCCTTTTAATCTTTTAAAAAAACTTTCGCGAAATTGTGTTTTCTACATATGTTTGCTAATTTATTTTCAAATACAACATAAAAAGGAATATTTGTTGGAATCTAAATTTTTATTTATTTAGTCTTAATTCCTTATTTTTACAATTAAAGAATTTTTTAAAAGCAAAACGTAAATAAAATAAAACAAATTATAAAAACATGTTTACATGAACTTTCTTACAGTAACAAAACCTGTCTTGGTTCATGGGAATAAAGCCAAAGTTTAGATATAAATGTTTAACCTGGCTAAAAAATAATAATTTTTAATCAAAAAAAAGTGTGGGATAATTTTTAAGTAATTATTTTATACAATTATTTGAGACAAATAAAATTGAATTTATACTTTTAAAATTTATAAACAAAGCTTTTTCTAAATTATTTTACACTTTTTACTTGAAAAACTTACTTAATAAAGAGAAAAGGTAAAAGTTTTAAAAACAATCCTGGCATTTAATGCTAAATGATTTCGCTCACAAGTAAGGTTGTCAGTTCTGGACCGAGCCGAACCGAATAACCGAGGATTTTTCGGTTCGGTTCTTCGGTTCCGAAGAATTTCCGAAGAATTTCCAGGAACCGACAACCCTTCTCACGGTGCTCTACCGACTGAAATATAGGGGTGCTACTTTAATTTTCTAATTTAATACATTTTAAACTTTGGGCGTTTAAATAGAGCCAGTTTTATCTCGTTCTTCCTTACTTAACTAAGGATCAAATCTTTTACCTGTAAAACGTTAAAATAGGTATCTAAATAAAATTTAAAAATTAAGATGATCAGTAAAACTATTTAGGATGGGGGGCAAATCAAAATAAGTTCCTAGTTTAAGTTCAAAATGCCATGAAAAGTGACAAGTCCATATCGAGATAAAATTTTTAGAAAATGACGAGTTTAAACTTTTCACTAAATAACCAAAAAAGCTAATATAAAAAATATAACAAAAATTTTTTTTGACAAAACATCTGTTTTTAATTAAAGTACATATGTACATATATTAAAAAATGTTAGTCAAATAATTAAAATAAATTTAAAGAAAAACATTTTACTTTCAAGAGAAAAAATGTTAATAGGAGAAATCTATTCAACAATAATTTATTGTTTTGCTACATTTGGATTGTTTTCTAATTTGTTTTTAATTTGGCTAATTTTACGTTATACAATGAAAGAAATGCAAGTTTATAGCAAAATACTTTTACAAACTTGTTTTGTTGATATTGTTGGGATTTGTATGTTTGTTGTTTCTCAACCGGTAAATAAATATTTGGAGTATCGGAGATGTAAGAAAAATTCTAGACAAAATACCTCAGGGCCCGTATTATTAAAAGAACAAGTGACATAAGTTATCTAATCCGGTCATATGACCATTCTCAGGCAACTAAAAGATAATGTAAACAGAACTATTTGAACAGATATCCTAATAGTTTCATCTAAATCCTCTTAAAATTTGTAAATATAATATATGCTTGGTTAATACCCAAATTATAGGATGTTAAATTTAAATTTTTCTGCGCTCTGATTCCTCTAAACAATTTTTTATTTAACTTTTCTTTAAAAAGGTTTATATTTCTGATAATGGCACAGGTACAGCTTGGAGTTATGGACCTGTACATTTTTTACCAAATCCTTGGCAATTCGTTCTTCTTCGTATAAATTATTTTATGGCAAGAATTACCTCTATGAATGTCTGTACATTATTTATTTATCGTTATTTTACTGTCGTTCGGTAAATTTTCTTGAAAACTTTAAAAATATTTAACGTTTCTATGTAGCGATGTTGATGTTAAATTTAAACACCAATTATTATTAATTGTTGGATTGATAATTCCAATATTTGTATTAAATGTTTGTGCTTCTATATCAAACTATCCAACACCCGAAAACGAATATTTAACTAATTATGAATTGGCTAAGACATTGGGATTGGATAATTATACAATTGAAAATTATGTTGTTGGACTTAGATCGAGAGTAAGATAATGCCTGATTGGGTTAAAAAAACATGAGACTAGACACAAAAAGAGTCTCTCGAAGCCGCTGGAACTTGAAATTTGACTCTCGGAAAACTCCCTACATTCCCTGAAAGATTTCTGAAATGGGAAAATGGAAGCTCTAACAGAACCTCAATTTTCATTTAAAAAATTAACATTTACAGACCAACGACCTATCAATTTTTACTGCAAATTATGCTTCAGCATTAACAATAATTAATTATATAATAATTATTTTTTGTGGAATAAGTATTCAAATACATGTTTATCGTCATTGTAAAGGTGTACAAATGACTCAATTACGTAATATGAATAAACAAATGAGTATTGTTTTGGGGGCACAGGTAAAATTAAATTTGTTTTAATTTCTTGAGCTTGAAAGAATTTAATTATTTTCTAGGCTATTCTACCTCTAATAACCTATATCACCACTTTATTCACCAATTTAAATTTTTTGTTTAATTTGCCTGGTCTATATTCTTCGTCTATTGCAATATACTTTACTTCAAGTTTGGGGTCATTAATTGCTGTTTTAAATCCTATTGTGAGTTTTTACTTTTATTTTTGATATTACTGAAGGAGTGTCATTTCTGCGGATTTTTTTAAAATTTAATTCACAAAAATATTTTTCTGTACCCATTTCGCTATCACTATTAAATGTTCTTTTTGGTTAAGTACTCCAGAATCAGTCAACCACAGTTTAAAGTCTTTTGGTAAATTATAATTTGAATAAATGAGCTCTAATGAGATTTTAAGTGTTTGTAACCATATTAGGTGTAAATTTAAACTAAATAAAAGCCTTAACAAATGGCCGCAAGAAGTACCTCCAGAAATGACACTCCTTTATTAAGTAGTGCATATTTCTTCAAACTTAAAAAAATAAATTTTAAAGGTAACAATTTTGAGTGTAAGAAATTACAGACAAATAATTTTTCGATGTAAAAATAATTCAAATATTCATCAAATTGTTCCAATGCCGGAAACTTCAATGCCGAACAGAATTATACATACCCTTTAAAAATAATAAAAACTGTTTAAGTACTATGCTATGATCTCCCAAATATATTTTTCACAGATTTTTACTCAAAATTTTTATTCTTTAATTTTCCAGAAATTTATATACAGCTTTATTTAAGACGAGTAATTTATAATAATTTGAGAAAGACAATAGGAAGTATTGTTTAATTACCTAATTAATATTAAATTTGTATGTATTTGCGGATATTTCTTGCCGATAAACAATTTTTAATTAAAAAATTTTTTACATTTCTTTTAATAAAATTTTGGAAAATTTCTTTAAATGATTAAAAATGTTCTAAAAATCATTAGAACTTCAAAATGTTTATTAAAATTCTTGCTTTTCTCAACAATGAATAGAAGGGGTTTTTTCCTAATAAGAAGTTTGATAATAAAATAAAAAACAAAAAATAAAATTTTTTGCAAAAAACTATTTGTGGGACACATATACTTTCATGGGACGCAAAATGATTTTTTGGGACACAAATATACTTCGTGGGACGCATAATTTCATACATGACGCATATTCCTGTCCTAACCCTAAGCCAAATTAAATTTTAATTTGCTATATAATCCCCTCACCCATTTCATTCCTATATGAATGGAGCCAATGAATGTCTTAATAAATTTCCCAAATTCGCTTTATTTAAGACAAGTCAAATCTTGCCCTTTTTTGATTTCTTTTGCGATTCCTCGTTGAAAAAAATCCGCTCATTTTCTTATGTGATAGTCCGCGAGACCTTCGCCAAGAAAGTCATTTAAACTTTTAACAATTCTAAAGTTATATGGGCAGAGTTTGTGAAGTAGTAGTTAAGAAGTTAACACAAAAATTAAGATAAATATTTTTAAAAATGTTATCGAAAAATTTGACAATTCAATTACTATTTCTTTTATTTATGCCACAAATTGTTGAACAAATGGAGAATGATGATGATTCAAAATATAAAGACACTCTTGAATACCTTGTAGGGCCTTATGCAACTTCCAAAACACCAACCACACAACGCCAGTTTCCCTCTAGTTATGATGAATTTTCTCTCCAGGTTTTTTGACATTTATCTAGACTATAATAAACTACTCTTTTGCGAATTTAGCCGTATGTATCTCACCAAGCCTCGACCCAACATCATCAATTTCCGTTTCCATCGCTGTCAAATCACCAATTTTATTCAAATTCACAAGTTTAATTTAACTTAGATTTTAATTTATTTTTGAGTTTTAGAATCCGTTCCCTCAACATTTTGAAAACAACCCAAACAATCCGTCGCCAATTCAGCAAAGTTATGAATATTCAAACAATGGGAATACTTTTGAAAATTTTATAGGCCCATATACAAATCCAGCACCAACCCAGCAACATCAATTTCCGTCCAATCACGAAAAGTATTCCCTTCAGGTTTTTTTATTTTGGATATATTCCATGAGCGACTAAATCATTATTTACAAATCTTTTCAGCCAGACAATCCGAGTAGTTCCAACATTAATTCTCAAAGTACAAAAATAAAAACACATAACGATGTTTATGAATTCGCAAATAAAATTTGTCAATATTTTAAAAACCTCAATTTTAAAGGTAAGTTGAATAATCTTTTTCTTAAAATATATTATTAACAGAGAATCAAAAGAGTTTGGAGAAATTGCTTTTTGATACGAAACAAAGTAAAAAAGTTAAAAATAAAATAATTTATTTCTAATAGATGAGTGTATTAAAGACTAGGGTTGTTCCCCGACGGGGGGGGGGGGGGGGGGCACGGGGAAGATTTTTGGGGAGGCAGCGCCACGAGGGGTGGGGCGGGGACGGGGAATTTTCAAAAAATCTCTCAAATTCCCCGACTTTCGGGGACGGGGAATATGTAGTCCCTATTAAAGACTACATACATATTAATGAAATAAAACATTTGACCCAAATGGAACTACCGTACTTTCTATAATTTCTATTATTTTTCAACTATCCTCTGGACGGGGGTTCTATTAGACGGAAGGGGGCTCTTCTGTGTTAGAGCAAACTCGAATTATTTTATATTTACTAAATATAAAATTAAATTAAAAATTCAAAATTTATAGGAAAGAAATTCCGAACAATTGAAGTAAAAGATATTTTATTTATTGAGAATTTCTGTTTGAATTTTAATCCTGCTAGTCCACAAATTAAGCAAGAAATTGTTGAACTACACAATAATTTTGGTTTTTTTATTTCCCTTATATTCGTACATTTTTAATTTAAAGGTGATTACTGGCATTTTATTAAAACTCGCCAATTCAAATGTTTTAAATACTATCACAACAATGAGGGGGTAAATGTCGATTATTACATATGTGCAGAGAAGAAAACGCAAAATTGTTATGTTCGACTTCATCATAGAAATTATTTTGATATAAAACTGAAAAAGGAACATACATGCTTTAAATCACGTGAAATATTCAAAAATATAGACAAAACTATAATTTAAATTTTAGTTCCAAACACTGTACAAGCTACAATTTGTGTTATACCAAAAAAAGAAAATCATAACTCAACTTGTTATTGTATTCTTATGGAATATTTAAATGAAAATTATAACAAAACTAAATATTTTGTTGGTTCACAATCGGTTGGAGAAGAATGCAAAGAGTATTCAATTCCAACCAAATTAAATAAATTTACTGTTAGTTGGGTTGAAAATGTAAATATTGAATTTGAAAAGCCTGATGAAATTCATCAAGTAATTTTTAAAAATAAAAATTCCCGAGAAATATATCAAAAATACTAAATTGTTTTAATTATGGTTAATTATTAATAATTAGTGAGAATGGAAAAACCGTAAATTTAAAACACAAAATTGAAAAAAAATCTCTAAAAAGTAAAAAAAATTCGTACCTATTCGTACCTATTTTGCCACTTTTCGAAATTTTTTGAACACAATTAGGTACGTATTATCGGTTTTTTGGAACTAAAAAACTCGCTCTAATAATTACATGTATTTTTAGGTTGAGTTCACTGTTCAAGAGTTAACTGCTGCAAATAAACATGAAATTACCAGTCAATTTAAATTAATTTTGAACATAAACACTAACGAGTATTCTTGGGAGATAAAGTAGAGGATACATATTTATCGAATCTGTCAGAAATTTGGAAGAAGTTTTAAAAGCATATTTTTTGAAAGTTTTCGCAGGGAAAAACTTGGAACTTGTGATTCTTTTAAAAGCATCCTTGTTAAGCAAATTTTTTTAAATTTTGTTGTGTTCGGGTTTATCTTTCTTCTTATTCCTTTACTAAACGATATTCTTTTTATATTACTTTTATTTATTAGAGGATTCAGGATTATTTAAAAAGAACAAAAAATTAAATATATCTTATAAAGCAAACACAAAAACATCAAAAAATTATCACATAAACCCCTATAAAAATCAAAAACTACAAAAAAGACGGTTAGGGAGGAGGTGTTGGATTTGGGATAGATCTCAATACATTGAGGATGAAATTTGTTTATTTTTTGATATTTATTTAAAGGATATTCCGTTAATTAAAATTGATTATGATTTTTTAAAATTATTTTTAAAATTAGTTTAAGAAAAATGGGGTGTAATTAATTGAGAGAAGGTAATTTTCTAGTATTTACAATAGTGATGTTCGGGAGAAGAAAAAACTCGGGAAACGGGAAACGGGAGTCGGGTCGGGAAATGACCTCGGGAGTCGGGATCGGGAGTCGGGAATTTTCGATTAAAAAAATTTTTTCGATTAAAAAAACGACTAAAAAATTTTTTCGTCGCAGGCGTGAATTTTAAGAATTTTTCAAGGTCAGAAAGCCAGAATTGTTCCATTTTTTTTGCGCCGCTCTCTCTCTCTATTCCCTTAATTAATTTTCAACGCCGCAGGCAGAAATCTTGATAATCATGGAGGTCAAGAAGCCAGATTTCATCCATTTTGGCCGCTTGGCAAAAAAAAGCATTCTAAATTCCCTAAATTATCGCCTCGTCGCATCTGGTATTAAAATATTGCATCCATGGAAGGATATAGAGCTATTAGAAGTGATTAAGGAGCATTGAATATAATGGATCTTTTATAAGGAGGGTATTGCTGAGACTGGCTAATCAGATTTTAATGACCTCTTAATCTCACATCATTTGTCTGCGCCGCAGGCGAAAATTTTTTATGTTTGGCATGCTAAGGGGCCATATTTCTTTCATTTTCTGCGCCGAGGCGAAAATTTTCGAAAATTCATGACTAAATTAATTTTTCCAGTTTTCTCAAGTTTACTAGTATTAAAAAAATAAATTCAAAATTTTAAAATTAAAATCAATGTTAGAAACATTTATTTTTGGAAGGAAAAATTATTTAACTCACATTTCCCAACCCCGGCTTCGAACCCATCCCCATAAAATATCACAGTGAGTGTGAAGTCACCGACCTAACCACTCAATTATCGCTCAACAAAAGATGTTTGGAATAAAAATTTAAATATTTTTTCCCCTTTTCCTTTTTCTTTTTTATTTTCCCTTTCCCTTTTTTTATTTTTTTTTCATTTTAAAAATAAAATTTTATCAGAAAAATCCATTCTTAGGGGTGTAAAAATTTCCCGACTTAGTCGGGAATTGACATCGGGAGTCGGGGTCGGGATCGGGAGGCCAAAAACTCGGGAAATTTCCCGAGTCGGGTGTTGGGAGTCGGGATACCCGAACATCACTAATTTACGGTATATTAACACAACAAAAATTATTAATTTTTCAATCAACTTTGTCTTTATCTATTTTTCTTTTCAATCTTTTGTATAAAATTTTCCAAAAAAGTTGTTGTTTTCAAATTTAAATAGGAAAATCAAAATTTTGGTTTAGATTTGATTAGGTAAATATATGGTAACTGAAATCAACGTGATAACCGAGATTTTTGATCTATCAACTATAACTCGAGTATTTAATGCAGGAAACTACTTCAAGGCTCCAAGGCCCACTCTGTGTCTAAAAAATATTTAAAAAAAGTATTTTAAATTTAGGCGTCTCTACTCTTGGAGATTATTATAAAGCGGTTCTCGAGTTATTTAATAAAAATATTCAAGAAATTAAATTATAATTCTAGCAATAACGCATGCAATTTAAAATTTATTTTTGAAAAATAAATTTCAAAATACCAAAAGGTCGATTTAGTCGGCATTATTCTTTTGTATGTAATAGACAAGGCTAATAAACACGAGTTAAATCAAGTTATATTTTATCTAATATTTCCATATTTATTTCACGTGTATAATTATGAAATATTTTTTTAAATAAATGTTTAATGAATTGAATTCTAGCGGATTTCTTCCAAAATTATATTTCAAAGGGGCAAATGCTAAGGGTGGGTGGCAAAAGGATCTTTAATTTTTTTTATTTTATTTCTAGCTATAGAATGATCAAGGGTATGTTTTTGGATCGTTCTGAAGCTAACAGTCAAAAATTTTTCATTACGATAAAAAAGTTGAAGAAGGTTGGCTTCGTGACCTTACAAAATTCTTATAATTTCCGACTTCGGCGCTTAAATTAGAACAAATTTAGCTATTGACATCGACTTCGACCCAAAATGCGTAAACCTGAATCCCCAAACTCTAATTTAAGCGCCGAAGGCGGAAATTATAAAAATTTTGTAAAGTCAAGAAGCCAAATTTCTTTAAGATTTGGCGTCGTGGAAAAAAATTTTTGGGACTCCAAAATAAATTTCTACAAAAATAGAGAATATAGAATTTTATCTTGAAATTATTTTACCCAAAGTTGACTTTTTTACCCGAATTTTGACTGATTTCATCATTCCCTGACACTTTTGCAAGTGGCAGAAAAATAGATTCCCTATCTTTAGTAAAGATTTAAATCGAAATTTCGAGTCAGTTTTTGCCCCCATTTTGAGATGGACAAACGAGGGAGAGGGGTGATGGATGACTGTATGATGTGACACTACTTGTTAAACGACTTGTCCTTTTAACAACGGTACATATTAAGATTACCACTAAAATCGAAATTTCGAAACTTAGTCAAGTGCCTTGGCAAAATTAAAATTTGCTTCTTTGGCCGACTTGTTTATTTAATCCAATAATTTTGCCCATTATTATTCATTTTATTTGCCTTCGTCTATTTTGTAAAAAAATTTTTTTAATAAATTAAATTAAAAATTTTAAATCTCGCTTATGCCCTCTCCCAAAAACAATTATCTGTGTTACCCTCGACTGGGACTCTTTGAGCATTTTCAATTATTTCTGGGTAAAGGCTTTTAGTTATTTTTATTATCAGGGCATTAAATTACTAGAACTTCAACATCTTGTCCAAGCTTGTTCAATCACGGTGATTTTGATGTCATTGGACTCAGTTCGATGAGCTTTCGAATGAGATACCGTTTGTAATTCGAATTTTTTACCCCAAAATTGAGCCTACTCTTGACCCTCTATGGTTTTTATATTTTCGATTATATCTCGGTCTACAGCCTTTTCCGCAACTAGAGATGGTCGCACATAGGGAGGGGTCCAACTATTGTTTAGTTATGTGTGTGATTATGATATGTTGATTCCACAATCATTTTTAATTTTAAAATTTTTAATTATTTTTAAAAATTAGAAATTTCGGTAAAATTCGATGAATAAAATTATTTTTTAATACATATTTTAGTTAAAAACGAAAAATTTCCAACATTTACAATGTCAAAATCAGTCAACATTCTTCTCCTTTTACTATTTATACTAATTTTACTTCCAAGAGCGAATGGTGGAGGGTGTGGTGGACGTCGTGCACATCGTGGAGGGCGTAGTGAACTTTCTAGTTCAAGCAGTGCTGGATCAGGTGTCGGAGAAAGTGGTGCTGGATCCTCAACTTCAGGAAATTTACAAAGGTAAGGGTGTCCTGATTAAACACACATTTAATTAAATTTATTCAAAGCTTTTCTAAAGTAGATTAAGCTACTAATGTAGGAAAAAAATAAAACAAATGATACTTAGGGATTATGTATTACAAAAATTTTGGGTTGCTTATACTTTTGTGACAGAGTGTACAATCTTCCATGATTAAACACAGATTCATTTAAATCTATTCAAAGATTTCTAAAGTAGATTAAGACAATATAGTCGCAAACAACTCGGGATTCATAAAGGTTTAAACAAGCACCATTTGTGGATAAAAAACCAGTTCTACTAAACTGGTTTTTGAGAACTCTTCCGCTAAGTTACCAATCCTCTTAATCAGCAATTATCTCAATCCGCAATTCTCGCCTTGAGAAATTTCAAAAATTTCAACTAAACAGGGAACTCATTTTAACGCTGCAGGCTAATGGATATTAAAGACAATCGTGTAGATATCGAAATCAGACAAAGTTATGAATTAAAAATATTTTAAAATGACCAAGATTTAAAAATTAGTATTGATAAACAATTTTTTACTCTACATAGTCATATTGAAATTAACACTTTATTCAAAATTTATCTTCAATTTCAAGAATTGCTGGGACTTCAAGTTCAAGTCGTGGTGAAAATATTGGAGCTTCAAGTTCAAGTGGTGATGGATTTTCAATAAGCATGTTTATAGACAGAATAAAGGTTCTTGAAAAATTGGTTAAAGACTATAGCTCGAAATCTGTTGCTGATTTTAATAAATATTTTGACTGTTCAATCGATATGGAAATTCTTGATCAAGAAACGCATTCTGTCATTCCTAATAAGGTTTAATTAATCTTTTGTGGAAAAGATAATATAATAAAAACCGTTATCTTTTCATTACAGTACCGGTAACAATAGATATCGGATCCGGGGATTTTCCAGGGGCCATAAACCCTGTCCAGAATTACACTAAATGTCTACACACCGAAAAAGAAGATACCAAAATAATTATCATTTAATCATGTATTTTTAATTGTAATTATTTTATTTTTGGATACTTCCGCTTACTTTTTATTTTCTCTTATGTACTTTTATGGAGGGATGATCGAAATGAAAAATTTTTTTATTTCGAAACGAAATTTCGATCATTGCTGGCCCAGACTTAATTCATCAGCCAACGAAGCCCTATTGTACTTCCTGAACTTACTTTAGTTCATGGATTATAACCTAAGGGGTACAATAGTATAGTGAGGTCCAGCAGTTATTCTTTTAAATAATGGCGGTGCAAAGGCTCAAATGTTCTCGCGCAAAAGTCGTGATACCATTTCAACAATCGCAAAGAGACATAATAAAATATTAATTTACATTACTTTAGTATGAGAAAATTCTAGAAGAAGCATTATTAAATGAAAAAGATTCCAAGCGTAAACTGAAAGAGAAAAAGAATAAAATGATTAGTGATGGGTCGGCGATTAATAAAATCACGGAATACTGTAAAAGTTATGTACTAGCTGTTGTGAACGAAATTAAAGATAATTGTGGGGTAAGTAATAATTGACTTCTCCCCATTAATGTGTTTATTTTTGGATTTTTGTACTTTCATGATGGGACGGGTTCTCTGTTCGATTTTCACTCTTGATAGGTAGTATTAGAAGTTCGTACCAAAATTCTTACTCGTTCATTGTATGAAATACGAGTCGAGTGGAAAAGGCCTGACGAAAATATGATACGAGTACGAGCAAATCTAAAAATTTCAAACACAGCTGATAGTTATATTATTTACTCATTTGTGTAAAAAATATAAACAAAAAATGTGTTTATTATCCTAAATCAGAGAACGACGGAATTTCGAGTATTTCTATTTCCAATTTGATTTTCGAAAATTATGTATGGAAAAAACATTTTATTTTCTGTAGTAATGGTTAGTATTAGAAATGGTCAATGTTTGTTCTTATTGAAATAACCAGTGTTTGAGTACTGGGTTTTAGTATTAAGGCCATTTTATTATTCTGACTTGGTCTCTCAGTATTTATTAGAGGCGAACCGGCACTCGGTCTCAAAAAATCTCGTTATCGATATTAAACTTGAAATTTGCTCCATAGGTTTAATAATATTCTTCTCATCGAAGTTACAAGTTTAATTTAAAACAGTCAATCCTATTAAAATTTTGAAATTATTTTTATTTTTTCTGTTAATTATTATATCAATTAATTTTGTTATAGAAAAAAATGCGGAAGATCGTATTTGACGAAGCTGTAAATAAAGATGAAACGACATGTCCAATCTGTCTTAAGGATTATAAAGAAGATGAACAGATTGATATGACTAGTTGTGGACACTTCTACCATTCGGATTGTATATTCGAATGGCTGGAAAAGGCCGGAAGTAACTTTTACAAATGTCCAAATTGCCGTAATGAGTTCAAAATTTCTATACATCCAGAAGTTTCTAAGTTAAATAAGAAATTAAAGAAAGTTGAACTTGGTTTTGAGATGAAAAGAATTAGTCGATCGGAATTGACAGTTGCTCAGCTACAATTACTACAACAATTAGGCTATATAATTGAGTGAAAAATCTAAAAAATTAAAAAAAAAATAAAAAAATCTACAAAAATATCCAAAAACCACACAAAATCCTAAAAATTCAAAAAACAAACAAAATCCAAAAAAGTGTTATTTTATTCTATCAATTTTATTTTCTTTCCTATTTTCATTTTTTTGCAAATTAGGGGTCGCTTTAGTAAAACAAAAAATCCAAAAAATCCCTAAAACATTAAAAATCAAACAAACAAAAAAACCTAAAGCCCCAAAATCCAAAAAAATCCAAAAAACAAGAAAAAACACTAAAAAATACTAAAATCTCAAAATTAAAAAAAAAACAAACAACATTCAAAAAATCCAAAAAAAATCCGAAAAAACTTTTATTTAATTCTATCTACATATTAGAGATTGAGATTTTTGAAAAGCCTGGACCTGTTCCTGGACTCTGGAGTTGATTTCTTGACCTGGACTGGATCCTGGGCCTGTAGTCCAGGAAAAACCCAGGAAGTTTAAAAAATGCCTGGACCTGAACTCTGGGTACAGGAAAAACCCAGGCCTTGGTCCAGGTCCAGCTCGATCTCTACTACATATTCATGTATTTATGTAAATTATATTTTTCTTTTCTAATTTCATTCTTTTGTTAATTTATTTATTTACTCTTTTTTATAAAATATTTCCGGGAATTGTTTTGTATTTATATTTTTAAAATTTGGTGATTGGTAAAAATAATTCCTTCAGATTTAAGTTCGCTTTTATCAATGAAAGAGCTATTTCTTCTGCTTTATACACTCCATAAGCTAAGACTGAAAAGATATTTAATTCTGAAGAGAATTTTAAAGAAATATTTGTCATTTTAAATATTTAAATAATATTTTTTTTAAACTTAAATGGAAAAATATTGTTGCGGATCAGTATATTTGAATCATATAAATCATAATATTTGAAATTTTCTTATAAATATTTCACCACCCTTCCATTAATTACATCATCAAGCGATAGATTTAAACAATAATTACCCCCTCCCCACATCAAATGCCCTAAAACACGTTCAAATTTAAACCACGTACGATTACCCCCACTCGATTAATTACCCCTCCAGCGGTAGGTCAAAATAATAATTACCAAGGGTAGTTAATAAAAGTTTTACGGTAAGTTCCAACTAAAATTTATTTAAATTATAGTTTTGTTTATATATTTAAAATGAAATATTTTCTTGGTTCACAACATGCAGAGGTGGGTCGGAACATTCAGAGGTGCCGGAAATTTGAAGAGCCGAAAATCGGAACTGGCTCAAAAGACGGAAATCGGAATTCCGCCTCACCTCTGATAACATGTATGTTTTGCGTTTTGTTTGATTTTAAAAATTTTTTATGACTAAACTTGCCGAACAAAGTTACTTTCCGAATAATTTTAAATTGTTTATTGAATTTGTAGCTCTATTTGCCTGAGTATTTTTCTGTCAATTACTCAAAATTTTTTTACTTTCATTATTTTCCAATCAAATGCTAACTACCTATATATGTAAGCTCCTACTACAAAGGAATTTTTAATTTGTTTTTCTAGCCTGTAATCTCGACTTACCTTTGAATTTTTTAAAATTTTTTTTCAACAGGCCTCGATAAAACAATTGCCCTTTAGACAGACGCGATTAGGGAATCAAAAATCATTTGACAGTCTAACAAAGAAATTAATTAAACAAAGGAAATAATCGACTAAATAGCTAGACTAGGACAATAAAAAATGCTATAAATTAAAAATTATTATGGACCTCTACTAATAGGCGCGAGACGTTTTGAGGCGCGAGACGTTTTAATTGGATTTTTTTGGTATTGCAGTTGGGGTATTTCCAAAACATTTCTTTATGTTCGGGACCTACGCCCTCTGGGTCTGGGATCTGAAAGTTAAAATCGTTTTTTTTTTAATTTTTAAAAATTGGCTATGTAAGGAAGAGAAAGAGAGAGAAAGATCCAGCTGGTTAGCATTTAAAACGCTCACTAGGCGGGGGTTTAAGATCTATTAAAAGAGAAGGTGAAAGCAGCGTCCCGGTAGCTCAGCTGGTAGAGTACCTGTATGTGGTGAGCGAAAGCGCCTATCAATAACTGCCAGGAGGTCGCAGGATCGAAGCCTGCCCGAGATTAAACTTTTACCTCGCTTTTACTGCTATAACTTTCAGAAATTTCGAGGGATAGGGTAGAAACGATTCCAGACCCAGGGCGTAGGTACCGTACATAAAGAAATGTTTTGAAATACCCCACCTTTGCAATACCAAGAAAAATCCAATTAAAACTCTCGCGCCTCAAAACGTCTTGCGCCTATTAGTCGTGGCCCATGATAATTTTTAATTTATAGCATTTTTTATTGTCTTATTTGTTAGTCTAGCTATTTAGTCGATTATTTCCTTTGTTTAATCAATTTCTTTGTTAGACTGTCAAATGATTTTTGATTCCCTAATCGCATGTCTAAAGGGCAATTGTTTTATCGAGGCCTGTTTGATAAACAAATTTAAAAAATTCAAAGGTAAGTCGAGATTACGGGCTTAAAAATTCCTTTGTAGAAACTTGATTGGAAAATAATAAAAGTAAAAAAAATTTGAGTCATTAACTGAAAAATATTCAGGCAAATAAAGACAAAATAAGTTTAGATACCAAAAGTTTTATTAAGATAAAAGATTTTTAATCTGTTTTTGCAGCTCATAGTTGGCCAACTTGAAAAAAATGTATTTCGATTTTTAAAAATTTGTTTGTAATATCCGAAGACCATATACCTACTTTTAAAAAAAAAGACTCATTATTCTAAAAATTCTATAACTGAAAAGTATTCTCAAATCTAATCTATTGTGTCGGATCCAAACTTCTGGAGACTCACTGACACTGTAAAGAATTTTTTATCGTCTCGCTATATCTACGAGCCCTTGTCTCGATTAAACTACGAGGCCTTGTCTCGATTATAAAAAACTGACATCTGACTATGTAAGATTCTTATTAATTTAAAGGGAGGAGTTTTTTAGAGTGAATATAAATATAATTAAGAAAAGGAGAAGTCACTCAATTTAAAAATTAAAATTAAAAATTAAGTAAATACAGTCTATAAGAAACTCCCAATAATATATAGAAATACCTTAATTTGATTGACCGCTAAAGGAGGAGAGGAATGGGAATGCCTCTAAGCGATACCTTCTATTTAGAATACACCTCATTATTAGATAAAAATTACAAGCCCTTGGTGTATCCTATAACAAGGTCCAATCGTATTGACCTTAATCCCAAGTTGACAAAAATGTTCGGAGTAATTTAGAGAAAAGTATAACCAGACATGGTCATGGATACGGATATGGATACAGATAATACCAAGATGCCTGCGGATATCCGCCTGTATCCGTCTGCCGTAAATATCCTGATACGGATATCAAAATCCGTATCCGTGTCCTAGTCTGAGTATAACTTTTATTGTTGGGATGTTGGATCTTTAGGGCTCATTAAGTAATGGGACCTTTAAAGACTACTACATATTTTGAAATTTCTTTATTTTTTAACTATCATCTAATTCTATTTTTTAACAATGTTTTTATTTTTAGAAAAAAGTTAAACAAAAATGAAAGCTTTTCTTTTTGTTTTTTCAATTCAAGTTTTGTTTGCCTTTGTTAATGCTGACTGCGGTTCAGGTATGTTTATTAACTCTATAGAATAAAATATTCTCCTGGTTCCTAAATTTCAATCCTTCGTATATAACATAGTAATGTTTTGTAAGTTTTGTCCACAATCTCGGTATTCTTAATTCAAGTTAGGGACGGAGCAGGACGAATAGGCGCAGACGAATAGGCGCAGTTTTTTCGGCGCAGCCTATTTTCGGCGTTAAGGGCAAAAACGCGTAAACACATCAATTTACGCGGAAAAAAGTTTTTGCCGCTGCGGAGGAAGCCGGGCATGTCGAGCGGAACGACGGCCGCCGCTTCGCTACGGTCGCCGCGAGCGAAGCGAGCACGACCGCAGCGAAGCACGGCCATCGTGTAGCGAAGACCATGCCCGGCCTACCCTCCGTAGCAGCACAAAAACAGTTTTTCTGTTGGGTATTGGCTTAGTATAAAAGCCTTCCTATTATTCAGTCGCGGTCTTAGTCTATTGTCGCAGTGTTATTCTGTTATTCTATTCTGTCTCCAACGTATTCGGCGCTTAGCCATATTCCTATTGTTCGCCTTTATTGTATTTCGTATTGTAGATAAAGCACAGTTGTTAGATACTGTCTTATCTTGTGTTTATTCTTTGTTAGTACGTAGACATACAAGTCACGTACATAACAGTGGCGCGGTCGCAGTCGTGAATCATTGATTCACAATTCGGACAATTATTCGGATTATTCAAATTCGGGGGAAGTATTCGGATTATTCGGAGATTCGCAGAGCACATCAGATTCTTATTCAGAGGAGATGGCGTCAGTTGAAGTGTGGCAGGCATTCAAGCCGATCGAATTCATCTATTCGACAAGGTCTAGCAAACCTTAGTCAATTCTAGTCAAGTTTAGATAGAACACAGTTGGTGTTAAAGATTGTAGATTTTATTCGGACCAATTCGAGATTTGAAAAAGATAGTTAATTATTCGGTCCAGAAGTTAGTATTTTGTTGAAAAGATTATTCGATGAATTCGAGCTTGATCATCAGGAGCAGAGTGAAGGAGCAAGTTGTATTCAGTATTTTGATTATATGAGGAAGATTAAGGGAAGATTATAAGCGAAGATAAGCGAAGATTATTATAAGTATAATAATATAATAATATTATAATAATATTAATAATATAATATTAATAATATAATATAATTAATAATATAATAATAATATATAATTAATAATATATAATTAATAATATAATAATATTAATAATATAATTAATAATATAATATAATTAATAATATAATATAATATTATAATAATATAATAATATTAATAATATTATAATAATATAATATAATAATATTATTATATTATTATTATTATTATTATAAGCGAAGATTCTGTTGGTCATAAGTTTATGCATAATTTTGAATCAAGCTGGTTTCAGTATCATCGATAAAGCTCGTCTAATTCATGCAAATGAGCTATTATTTGTATATTTACATTTTTATCCCTCGACGCCGAAAACATGCTGCGCCGAAAAAATGGCGCCTATTCGTCTGCGCCTATTAGTCGTGTACCCGTTAGGGAATTTAATTGAACGCTTGGTAGGGAATACTGTTCGATAATTAAATGTTTTATTTATAAAATGGGTTATGCAAGTCTGTGAAGGAAAAATATTTATATTAAATTATAATTTTAGAAGAATATAGCAAACAAGATATAACTGGCGATATGCGAAAAAAAGCTGATTTTGTTAAAGTTGGAAAGGATGCTTATTCACAAAATGAACACGGAAGGTCTCTTTATAAAGAATGCACTCCAAAATGCGGTAGATTATAAATTAATTCTAAATGTATTGAAAATAAATTTTTAGAAGGAAAGAAAAAGGAAGAATGTGGGGAAATTGATCATTGTACATATGGAAAACCTTCGATTATTGCTAAAAAACAATGTTATTGTACTAATGGCTGTTTGTAAAAATTTTATTGACTAAACAAGTCACAGCCTTTCGGTTCTGTAATCCTCGTGAAGATACTATTCTTAAAAGGAATTTTCGTCCAAACTTGTACAAAATTAAGAAAAAAAGACTATTCTTATTGGGTATTTAAATATTTTTCTAAAATTGTATATTTTTAATTTATTTAAATGTAAATATTTTCGTAAAAATAAATTTTTTTGATTATTTGAAGGATTTTTAGAGCTGTAATTTTGATTCTGGCAAAAATTAAATATTGTTGGATAAGAAAAATAGACTAAAAATAAGCTAAATAGTGTATGAGAGACTGTTAGAGTGAAGTATATTATCTGAAATTTCCCAACTTTTCAAAAATTTTAAATTTTCCTGAAATTTAATTTTCCTAATCCTGAAGTTTATCGGTGACATACTACCTATACTATTATGTATTAAAAACCGGGTCCTAAAAAGCTCGGTCCAACGTAAATACATAATTCTATAGAATTCTCACTCCAAGGCATAACAACATATAGGCAAGCATTTCCATATTTTAACTAACCCTCTTTATACTTATAATTCTTCAAATTTACTTTAAGTAAAATTAAATAAGTATTTGGCTTATATTATTATTATATTAATATTTTTAACTTTAATATTATAATATTCCTATCCAAAAATGCTTTTTAATGTTTATGTCAAAAATTAATTTATGATGATTAATAGTATAATATAAATCTCCAACACAAAACTCAACCTAAAAATACATATATTTATACATAAATAAAAAAAGAAAAGCCTTATTATTCAATAAATGAGTAGTTCTTTCTGGCATTCAAGTTTCAATTACCGGAGCAACTTGATGAATATTTGGACTATTTTTGCATCGAAAAATTATTTGTCTGTAACTTCTTACACTCAAAATTGTTACCTTTTAAATTTTTTTTAAATTTAAGAAAATATGTAAATAATCATACAATAGGACCTCGATCTCGGCCCCCTCGACCTCGATCTCGGCTTTTCCAGCCTCGGTGATCCTCGGTCTCGGTTTTTTCAAAAATCCTCGACCTACTCTTATACAAAAGTAAATTAAAAACACTTCAAGGATTGTAAAATCTTTCTTAGATTACATATTCCTTATATTTTCTAGTATTTTAATTTCCTGTAAATTAAATAAAGTTACAAATTTTTATTTATATAAAGGGCTGATTTTATTTTTTTCGATGTGTTGTGTATTAGACACAGACAAAGCAAATAAATTTAGAAATATTTTTGAAGAAATAGTTAGCGGAGGTAAAAACAATATACAAGCAAGCTTCGAAGCCAAAGATGGATATCAGAAAGAAATCATTTTTGAACCTTATATAATAGAAAAACTACTAAAAAAACTCCCAAATAAATTATCCCATAGTCCTGAGAATATCAATCAATATTTTCTAAAAAAATGTGCTACACCCTTAGCTCTTCCTCTCTCTATTTTATATGAAAATACATTCAAAACAGGAATAGTCCCTGAATTATGGAAAACAGCTCACATTCTACCGATATTTAAAAAGAAGGGTTCAGTAAACGACCCAAAAAATTACAGACCAATCGCATTAACATCCCCGACTTGTAGAGTTTTTGAGCGCATAATAGCAAATAACATCTTAGAACACCTATATAAACATAAATTAATTGCTGAAGAGCAATTTGGATTTCTACCTAAAAGCTCTTGTACACTTCAAATTTTATCATCTATGCAAGATTGGTATAATTCACTTGATAGGAAGATAGGTACGGACGTTATATATTTTGACTTTGAGAAAGCCTTTGATAAGGTAGATCACCAAATACTTATAAGAAAATTACAAGAAATAAAAATAGATAGCTTAACAATTAGATGGATAGCAAATTTTCTCTCTAATCGATCCCATATTGTAAAAATAGATGATCATTTCTCTGAACCATTTCTGCCAAAAACAGGAGTTCCCCAAGGAACTGTATTAGGACCATTGCTGTTCCTGATATATATAAATGACCTACCCAAACATATCCCAAAAAACATAAAAGTAAAATTATATGCAGATGACTTTAAGCTCTATTCGGAAATTAATACAGAAAAAGATTGTATAGAGCTCCAAGGAGCTATAAACAATGCATATATATGGGCAAAAAATAATAGACTGGACTTCTCTATCTCAAAGGTTAAGGTTTTAAAAATATACAACAAAATTAAGTATAGCTATGAGATTAACGGTGACAAAATCGAAGAAGTTAATAACATAAGAGATTTAGGAGTATACATAGATAACAAACTTAAATTTGACCAACATGTAGCAAAAATCACTAAATCCTCATTTATAAGACTAAATAATATTCTAAGAATATTACCTAAAACATTACCAATAGATACATATGTAAAGGCATTTAAAACATACGTAAGGCCAATTATGGAGTATTCCACTGAAAGTTTTAGCCCTAAACTAGAATATCTTAATAGCCAATTAGAAAGACCTCAACGAAGCTTTACAAGGAAAATTTTAAGATATAAATTCAAATACCAAAAAATAGGATATACCGAAAGACTAAAAAGATGTAAACTCCCTCCAACTAAAATCCGTCGCATAAGAACAGATCTTATGACAACCTTCAAAATAATAAATGGTTTCTATAAAATAAAACCAGAACAAATGTTCTCTAAACCAAATAGAAATAATCTGCGCTTGCATAGATATCAAATATTTAAAAAACAAACTAAGAATAATCATTTCTTTTCACATAGAGTCATAGATAGATGGAATAAACTTCCAAAAAATGAAATTGAAAAAATTAGTACTATTCCTCAATTTAAAAAATTTATAGACAATATATTAATCACAGAAGACCCTAATTTATGAGTAACGAATTAATGGAGTGTAAAATAACAAAATCCTAGCCTAAATGTTCACTTTCTTTTTAACATACTTACCTTTTAAATAAAATTAATTTTGGTACAAATATTTTTTTTACTTAAATTATACCTACATATATATTTTTTGATATTCGCTTTTATTTATTTTTTTTACATTTTTTTTTTCTTGTGGAGTCCATTTATATATATACTTTTTTTTAATTTAACATTTTAACTGTAAAATTGTAATTGATTTTTATTGTAAGTTACCTCTCCATAAGTGATCCTTGTGGATCCAGGAGTTTTATTTTATTGTTTCACATTCATTTATTTGTGTTCGATAAAGAAAAAAAAAAAAAAAAAGAATAAATTTTACTCTACTGCGCGAAGAGGAAAATAAAAGTTGTGTTGGTGTCGTATAGGCGCCTCAAGGTTTGGGCACAAGTCTCAAAACTGACAAGTAGCTGAAAACCCCTAAATTCTTGAAAATTTTTTCAAATACATTAAACTTAAAATGACTATCTCCTTCGGAATTTCAGAATCTTCCATAAAATATTTTTCAAGTTATAGTCGATAAATCTGGAAAGATCAGGCAATCTTTTAGCAAATAGACATTTTCGGTTTCTGATAATTGTGGAGCACGTAGGTAAGCATACGAGGGTGCAAAAAAGGCAATTTTAATTTCGACCCTCACCCCTTTTTTCTTGAGTTTATGATCATGTGATGAAGCAAAATGGATATAAAGTTCTCACACGTTATACATATCTCTAATCAATTTACAATTTATAAGCTCACACCTTGACAACCCGCGTCCTACCAGCCCAGTCCCCCAAAAATGAATAAATTGCTAAATAATTTTTAGGGTTTTTGTTGCTTCTCTTGTCGTCCCACTTAACCGTTCATTTTGTCGTCCGTTCATTTTTGTTGTTAAATATAAAGAAAAATATAATTTATATAAACGTTCCTTGTCAATTTTTTTGAAGGCTACTTTTCTGCAAATTAATTGCTCATTCGGCCAAATAAGCAAATAAAAGAAAGAAAAGTTTTTTTTTGATGGAAAATTTTTGGGGGTTTTTGGGGGGTTTTAACAGATATAAATGAAAAGGACAAGAGACCGCTTCGTTCTTTTCAAACCGGTTCTTGTTTCCATTTTTCTCTCCCTTTCTAAAGTTATTCTTCTTAACCATCCTTTTTTGCCGTCCCACATTCCAACCATCCGGCAATAATATTTTTACCGTTAATATATTCTTTTTTCTCCCAAATATTTTCTTGACAGTCCCCGCCTGTTTTTAATTTTTTTATTCTTTAATTTTTTTTTATTAATTTGAGAAACAGTAAAAATAGCTTTAATAGAGAAGAAATTCCAAAATAGTTTTATGTTCCCCCTCCCCTTATAATGATGACGCATTTTAAATTGCCTTTAAAAGGCTGAGCTCAGAGGCAATATTCAGCCACAGTTGTTTTAAATGAAGCGTTTTCTAATTTAATTTATTTAATAATTACGAAAATTACTTTTGAGAGAAATATTCTCAGACAAAATTTTCTTACCATTTCGATCTTTTTTCGAAAAATTTTGAAATTTTTAAAAAATTTCAGAAAAATGGATTCGTCTGCCGCATACGATTACGACAAGCAACAATTAAGACGGGAGGCCGAATCTTTACGGGCACTCGCTATTTTTGGTGTTTGTCTTTCAACTGTAGCTACCTTAATTTGTGTAATGTCAATTCCACTTTCTTCTTTATATTTCCAACAAATGGGGTCTTCATTACAAGGAGAACTTGATTTTTGTAAATCGAGAAGTGGAAATATTTGGCAAGAAGTAAAAAGCAATTTAAATGTTAGCTTAAAACCTTCCAAAAAATTCTCTAGGTGACAAGGACACAAGTTCTTTCTGCTCCAAGCAGAGGACCACGTAGCACCCGAGCTGCATCTACAAGCGGAGGTGAATGCTGTGGTTGCGGCGTTTCTCCACGTGGACCACCTGGACCTCGCGGTGAACCTGGAAAGGACGGATCAGATGGACGACCTGGAGCAAATGGAGAGCCAGGAATTGACGGTAAATAATTTTCCATCAAAATCGAAAAATCAAAATAAAATTTAGCTGGACCACCACCCACTGTACTTCTTGCCGAGCCATGCCAGACTTGTGAAGCTCCAATTCATGGACAGCCAGGACCAAGAGGACCACCCGGATCTGATGGGAAAGAAGGAGAGCCAGGAATTGATGGTGATGGCGGACCACGGTAGCGGGAAATATCTTTCAATAATTATAAATCTTTAATTTGTAGAGGACCACCTGGACCAGAAGGACCACCTGGACCTGACGGAGAACCAGGCTCAGACGGTAATATTTTAATTTACTTGTCTAGCTTTGCATTTAAATTATTTTTGCAATTCAGGAGAGCAAGGACCACCTGGAGAACCCGGAGTTGTCAAGGAAGGACCTCCAGTTCAAGGACCCCCCGGAGAACCAGGACCCGATGGAGAGCCGGTTGGATTTTAAAAGATCTGTTGTATCTTCTAATTCACATTTTAGGGAGCACCTGGAGAGCCTGGAGCCCCAGGCAAGCCCGGTTTTGCTGGTCCACAAGGAGCCCCTGGAGATGGTGGATATCCTGGCCAACCTGGAAAGCCAGGAGGAAATGGACAGAAAGGACAAGGAGGACAGAAGGTACGGAATTGTATTCAATAAAGAAATTTCAAAAATATTTAAAGGGTCCAAATGGTGCTTGCGATCATTGTCCACCTGCCCGAACAGCGCCAGGATATTAAGAAGAAGAAAAGAAAGAATTTAAAAGTAGCGAGAAAAGTTTGCGGTGGCGAGGGAAACATTAAACATCAAAAACAATTTAATGCAATTAATTAGTGAAATAAATAAATTTTATTAAAAATTATTAGAAAAAATTAAAAAATATTTATTTATAGTATGTAGTTGTTACTAATTTTTAATTATAATTTTCCTTCCAATACCACTGGCCAAACTAAAAAATGTTTAGTTGCTCATTCTTTTTTACCCCTCTCTCTTTCTCCACTGCCTACTTGTATTTCTTTAATTTTTATGAAATATTTTCTCCCAATATTTAAACATGGTTGATTGTTTTTAGTAAATTTAATAAAAAATTATAGTGAATTATTTGTTGTTTGTTGGTTATTTTTTGTTCTGAGATAGTATTCTTTTAATTAAATTTTAAATAATTAATTTATTTAAATAAGCTGGGGAGGGGGTATCGGTGGATTTGGATTTTTTACTACAGATTAATTGGTTACCTGAATTTTTGAACAGAACAGAAAAAGGAATAAAATATAAAAATACAAAGGCAAAGACAATTAAACTTACAAAAACTAAGAAAAAATTTTTTGAAACCCAAAAAATACAAAAAATACGAAATTTAAAAAACTTAAAGAATTCTTTCATGGCATCGTATTTTTACGTAAATAATTTATGTAGGTATTTTTATTTGTTTCTCTTTACTTTTTTGTACATAAAAATTTAGCAGGAGACAATCCTTTACAATCCTATAAATTTGAAGTACTAATTTACTAGTGAAGGTCGAGACTCTCGGTCTCAATTTTCCTTGTTTTCAGTATTTTTCGAGCTCTCGTTTTCGACTCTCGGCTTTTTTTAATTCCCGATCATCACTATAATTTACAATAAAGTGCAAATAAAAATTTGAAAAATGAAAGTATTTTATATTTAAATAATTAATGGGCATCTGGGCATTATTAAACAAATATTTTTTATTAAACAAATGTTGCACCTGGTAGTTAAACTCGAAAAATGTTTAAAGTTTATTGTAAATAATAATTAAATATTATGTCACTTAAATATTTACTTTAAAAAATATTTAAAAAATTTTTTTTAATTTTTTTAGCTGCTCATAAGAAATTTCTTTTTCTTTTTAATTTGATTATTCTAATTTTTAAAAATATTTTATATATTTCTAAGTCATTGTTTGGCGCTAAGTCTTAATATTTATATGTAGGTGATGCTGGGATTTAATAAACGTTTTACAAACACAAATAAACATTTAATTAAAACATTTTTCTCGAGAATTAAAACACACAGACAAACATAAACATAAGAATATAATATCTATGAACCAGATTTCTTGTTTGGTACCAACAATTTTGTTAGGGAATTGGTAATTAGATAAAAAAAAGAATTGTCAGTTTTCATTGTTTGAAAGAAGCTAAAAAGAAAAAGTGCCGCAACTTATATGTTTATCAAAAAAATTGACAGAAAAATATTCATGCTTAAGCTGTTTTATTAAAATCTTAAAAAATAAAATGTTTAGGAACAAAAAAATATAATTAAAATAAATTTAAAGAAAAACATTTTTCTTTTAAGAAGAAAAAAATGTTAATAGGAGAAATATATTCAACAATAATTTATTGTTTTGCTACATTTGGATTGTTTTCTAATTTGTTTTTAATTTGGCTAATTTTACGTTATACAATGAAAGAAATGCAAGTTTATAGCAAAATACTTTTACAAACTTGTTTTGTTGATATTGTTGGGATTTGTATGTTTGTTGTTTCTCAACCGGTAAATATTTGAAGTTTGGGCGCGGGAATGTTTTGGCGTGATCGCCTATAACTTTTGAAGAAAAATTAATTTTCTCACCAAAATAGGTTTATGTTTCTGACAATGGTGTTGGAACGAATTGGAATTACGGACCTGTACATTACTTACCAAATCCTTGGCAAGGTGTACTTTTATGTTTCAATCATTTTATGGGAAGAGTTACCTCAATGAATGTCTCTACATTATTTATTTATCGTTATTTTGCTGTTGTACGGTAAAATCCACGATATCTAATAATAAATTTTATTTGGTTTTGTAGCGGTAAAAATATTAAATTTAAACACCAATTAATATTAATTGTTGGAATGATAATTCCAATATTTATATTATTTACCTTTTCTTATATATCAAACCATCCAACACCAGAAAATGAATATTTAACTAATTATGAATTGGCAAAAACATTGGGATTGGATAATTATACAATTGAAAATTATGTTGTTGGACTTAGAGCTGGAGTAGGTTAACTTGTTAACTGAAAAATTTAGAGAAGAAATGAAGGGAGTTAGATAGGATTTGCCCAGAACCGAAAACTTGACACAAACTGGAACGATCCTATTTTTACAAAAATAGGATCATTAATAAATAATACGCTAAGCTACTGTCTGAATAAGCCTTTTGCGTTATATATAACTTATTTTCCAGTTTTTTGGAAATTTTCTTTGGGCCTATGCTTTCGATCAGACCTCAAACTTTCATGAATTTATACATGAAATTTATTTTTACTTGTACTTCATTTCAATTACGATTTTAAAAATAATTATGTAATATTTACAGACCAACAACTTATCAATTTTTACTGCAAATTATGCTTCAGCATTAACAATAATTAATTATATAATAATTATTTTTTGTGGAATAAGTATTCAAATACATGTTTATCGTCATTGTAAAGGTGTACAAATGACTCAATTACGTAATATGAATAAACAATTAAGTATTGTTTTGGGGGCACAGGTAAAGTTAGATTTGTTTTAATAACCATTTGGAATTGAAAATTAAAAAAAAACATTTTCATCACCAATGTTTAGAAGCCCGCCTTTATGTACGAAGTACAATTAATAGAAAATTTCAAAACCCTAAAACTTTTCATTTCTCATACATTATAAGATTTTAATAAGTTTAATTTAACAATTTTAGGCTATTCTGCCTTTACTACCTTATCTCTCCAATTTATTCGCCAATTCCATTTTATTATTTAATTTGCCTGGGTTATATTCTTCGTCTATTGTAATATTCCTCACTTCAAGTTTTGGATCTTTAATTGCCGTATTAAATCCTATCGTGAGTTTATTTATTTTTTCTTAAACTTTAAAAAAACAAATTTAAAAGGTAACAATTTTGAGTGTTAGAAGTTACAGACAAATAATATTTCGATGCAAAAATAATTCAAATATTCATCAAGTTGCTCCGGCAATAGAGGCTTAAGTGCCGGAAGAACTACTCATATATTATTAAATAATAAAGCTTTTTTTTATTTTTAAATTTTTTGCATAGTACAAATAAATTTTTAATTATTACATATTGACAAGTACAGGGTGACAAGAAAGTTCGGAGTGAAGCAGGGCTTCGATCTCGAATTTTTAAAAATCCGCAATTTCGATCGAAAAAATTTGCATTTTATATGAAAAATCCGCAAAAAATTATCAAACTCAAAAATTGAATTAAAATCACTTTATGCGTTATATTTTTTGACTCTAACAATTGAATTGAGCAGTTTTTTCACTAATAATGACTATCTTATTAAAATCCGGACAATTAAATGAGAAATTAAAGTTGACTTGAGGCAATGCTTTCACCGTCCCTTGTTATAGTGAATTGTTTACTGGAAAAATCTTTTTTGCGCCGCAGGCGAAAATTTTGCGGATTTATGAAGGTCAAGAAGCCAAAGCCGTCCTTTTTCAGCGCCGCAGGCGAAAATTTTGGAAATTTTTGAAGACAAAAAATCCAGCTTTCTTCCATTTTCAGCGCCGCAGGCGAAAATTTTTTGAATTTTGGATATCCTAAAGCTAAAAATCGTCCTTTTTTGCGCCGCAGGCGAAAATTTTGCGGATTTTGGAAGGCCCTGAAAACAAAAAATGACATTTTATCCTAAAAACTACAGGAAAATACAAAAAATCCTCATAATCTTCAAAAGGCCACAAAAATCCGCAAATCCGCATTTTAAAAAATAATCCTCATCGCCCTATCAAAAAACCACAAAATGAGGAAAAATCCGCAGAAATCGAAGCCCTGGAGTGAAGTACATAACTTCAAAAATATTCTACGGATATAAAATAAATCCGATAAAATAGAGAACTAAATAGAGAATGAATTTTATTTGAAGTTTAAAAAATTCGAACTTTCTGCATCGATACAGTATCGAATGCGTGTGTTAAGATTGAATGGCCTATAAAATGAGTTAAAATTAGTTAAAAATATTAGGTGTACAGAAAGTTATGGTTAAAAAATTCTTCACTCCGAACTTTCTTGTCACCCTGTAATTATATAGGACTAAGGACCGGGAGAGATGAGTCGTTTAGTGCCAAAATCGGTACACCTCAATTGAGTCCCGACTCGATTGAGTCCCGGACCCTATAACTTATGAAGGGACGGTCACTTTTTGTTACTCTTGGTACCATTAGATAGGGCATTAAATAGGCTACAATATACCAAAAAATCAAAATTCTTGACCGACTGGTAAAAAAGTTATGATTAAGGCTGTGATTTATAGGCAAATGCCTATTTTTTCTGCAAGCTTGGGATGATGTAATACGTTCAAAAAACGTATTTTTAGCTCGGTCCGATAAGCCTAGCATGACTTTTAATATGCCTATTTCTGCCTATTTTTGACTTTTTGTGCCTTTCTGCCTATTTTGAAATTTTTGGTACTATTTTTGCCTTTTTTAGCGATTTTTTCGAAATTTTGCCTAAAAATCAGTGCAAAATCTAAAAAAATCAGTCCCAAATTAGAAAAAATCAGTGCCAAGTCCCATTATTAATTTTTAGTTCGTTAAATTGTTTATTTTTACTCTGTTGGACATTTTAAACTGGGACGATCTGGTTTTGGGACGTTTTGGGGTGCGGCGTTTTGTGTGTGACTTTTAATATGTGTGTTGGGCGAGATTTCCATTTTGTCAATTATCGGGATTTTAAAAAAATTTACTCCATTTTTTCAAAAAATGATTCAAAATGACGAATAAATGGTAAAATTGTTTAAAAAATAGTTTATAATTTAAAAAATGACGATTAATTGGTTATTTTTTCTGTTTTTATCTACATTTTATGGTCTAATATCCTTTTTTACATGCCTATTTTTGTGCCTTTTTCGGTTTTTTGTGCCTATTTTAGGCGCCTATTTTACTGATTTTACTTGCCTAACTATCACAGCCTTAGTTACGATCGATAAAGTGCCGAAAAATCAGATTTTTTTGAAAAAGTTAGTTTTTAAATCATAACTTTTTTATCAATCGGTCAAAAATTCTGATTTTTTGAAATATTATAGAGCTTTTAATTCTCTATCCAATGATACCAAAAACATTAAAAATTATCAACCCGTACTTGAGTTATAGGGCCGGGACTCAGTTGAACTGCTCCGTACCAAAATGTTTGTATTGAACAATTTTGAACGAAGTTATGATCAATTAAACTTTGGCGTAAAAAATGTTTTTAAATTTTCCAGACGTTCGAACACAATTATCTTTGTAAACGGTGTACCAAATTTTTAATATTTCGTATCAGTAAGTTTTCTAATGTGTTGGGAATAAAACAAAAAAAAAGAATTAACAATTTTCATTAATTTTGAAGAAATTTATGACAAAAAGAAAAAGTGGCCTAAATTTTCCACACCCTGTATTTTAAGATTTTTTAGGCGTTAAGATATTTTAAGATATTTTAGCCGTTAAGACATTATAGATATTTTATGGCAGTGAGGATATTTTGAGAGTAAGGTGTTTTGAGTGGACATGGTTGAATGTAATCAATCTAGAATTTTTTGAAGTTCCAATAATTATTATTTATCTTTTTCTTGGTCAATATTTAACTGAATATTTCCCAACAGTCAAATAATTCCCCACTCTTCATTAATTCCCGATGCCGGGGATAGGATGAAACAACATTATGGTCCCCCCCCCCCAACCTCCCCCCCCCCCAATATTTATTTACCGGTTGAGAAACAACAAACATACAAATCCCAACAATATCAACAAAACAAGTTTGTAAAAGTATTTTGCTATAAACTTGCATTTCTTTCATTGTATAACGTAAAATTAGCCAAATTAAAAACAAATTAGAAAACAATCCAAATGTAGCAAAACAATAAATTATTGTTGAATATATTTCTCCTATTAACATTTTTTCTACTTAAGAGGAATGAATGTTTTTTAAAAATGTCCGAAACTACTTATTGTTAGTAAGCTCTTTTTAATTATTAAGAATTTTTTAATAAACTTATTCTGTTTTTAAAACATGTTTTAATAATTAATTAAAAAATTTATGTTTATTTAACTGTTAGTTTTATTTTATTTTTGCGTGCTAAATAATTTAAAAGAAAAATACAAATTACTTTAAAGTTTAATAATTTTAAAATATTTTTACTTACACAATAATTTTAATGAAAAATATTATTTAACACGAAATGTTGTTTGTTAAAATAATTTAAATAAATTTTTTAAATAACATTTTAAATGACTACAAATTAAAGATTCAATAGAAATATTGTCTCAATTTTAATTAAAAAAATACTAGGGAATTTTTAAATATGTGAAAAATAATTTTAATTTTGATCCTCGATTAAATTTTTTGAATAGAAATATAGCTAAAACCGAAATTCCAAATTCTTTAGGCGAATATATTCGAATAAAGCTACAATTTAGATATGGATGTGTCCAGTCTATTTTTGACGGATTTTCGGAAACCTTGGATATCTGGATTCAATATCCAACCCAATAATTTCGGATATCCTGCCTAGGGATGGGGGCTCTCTCATCCGGCCCGGTCCGGAAGATCGAGTCGGGCATTGAATTTTGGCACGAAAAAGCTCGGTAGGGCCGGCCCGATAAAAACGAGGCCCAAAAAATAACTCGAACGTCGGCCCGACTCGAAAACCCTAACCCTAATCCAGACGCCAACATCGAAGTATAATTAAACATGCAACTAATTCAAACCGATGCTCGGACTCCCCTCCACCCTTCTTGTATATTTGTATCAAAATAAAATTCTTAATTATGAACATCATCTTCAAAAGTAAACCCAGCTTTCTTCATTCTCTCCTTAAATTCTTTGTGTGCCTCATTAAATTCAATTTCTTCACGACACAACGGACATTTATATCTGTTCTCATTGTCTGATAAAGCCCAATTAATTATGCAATCCTGGTGGAAAATATGTCCACATTTAAGCTTATTAATAACTTTCTCATTATTTATATATTCTTCAAATTCTTCGTGACAAATCGGGCAGATTTTATCATCTTCAGGCAAAGAAGAGTAGGTGATGACATATTCTGACATCAACAAATGTTGCAATTGCTTCTTAAAATAAATTAAAATACCTAACTTATGTATCACGATTTTTAACTTGAATTGTTAGCGAGTAGAGCTGTATCAAAATTTCGATTTTCGAGGTTTCACTTTAGATTTTCGATTTACGATGCCAAAATTGGGTGATATTTTCGATTTTAGTTTTCGAATTTTTGAAAAAACTTCATTTTTTAGCGTCGAGGATTTCTAGTTTCTCGGCCACTATAAATTTAAAAAATTTTCGCTTACGGCGCCGAAAAAGGATATACATATACAGAAAAGGATATCCGATACCGGAGATTAGAAAACCTAAATTTTGGTTTGAATTTATATATCTATTTTTTGAGAAAGGGTATAAACCCCCAAAACCTACATTAGCCTTCTCGTTCATCTCTTTTTCAATATCTTTTATTTTTTGTTGACAATATTCATAGTAATCTCGTAATATATCGAGTGCCTCTTTATCTTTCATTCTATTAAGTTTATATTCGATTTCCTCAGTTTTAGCTCCTTTTACAATTAATGCACGTCCAATAAGGTCACGGTATTGCATTAAATTATAATGCTCCCTAAAATTTGTCCAAAATTCCATTCTAGCTTGTCTTAGTTGAGAGTGCTTTGGATTTGTTTTTAAATATTTAGAATCCCCTATATATTGGTCAATATGTGTTAACAAATCTCTCAGAAAAACAGAATTATTTAAAAATTTAGAAAATTCTTCTTTTTTTATATTAGTAAATTCCTCAACAAACTCAAGATATTCTTTGTTAGGAAATTTTACATTTAAAATTGAAGGTAAAAGAATTGAAAATAAAAAGATTGGAATTAGTAATTTAATTGAAATTGACATTTTTGGGTATTTTTCTGTGTTAAATTGATTTTAAAAATTTCTAAATAAATTATTAGAATTAATAAGGGAAGAAATTGCCTCCATCACCCATTTTACAAAGAAATAGCTGCAATAGCATGATTAGAATTTTTTCAAATTTTAAATATAGTTTCAAAATGTCTTTGTGCATTATGTATTAAATTTTCATTCAAATCCGTTAACAACTTATGGACCTAAGCCGCAAAATATAGGTGGAAGTATATTTTTGAGACAAAGTGTATAATTATCACTAAATCTCGAATTTCCACATTTCCGGGCCCGGACCCGGTTTTTTCAAAATTTGTAGAAAGCTTAAATTTAAACTTTTTTGCTGAAATTTCCTTATTTTAAATGAAAACTTGAAGATCTAGAGATCATCTCTCAGTATTTACACACTTAATGCCTTCATTTTGATCAACAAAATTTTATTGGTGGATTAAAATTGTTTGACGGGATTAATGGGATTTGGAGGGATTTAGGGAAATATCAAGGGATATATTTCAAAAGAGAGGATTTGGATAGGTAGAGGGTTAAGAGCATTTGTGTGGTTAAGGGATTTGGAAGGACAATAGGACTTGGGAGGATTTGGGGGACTAATTATATAACTTAGATTTAAACGTGATATCGTAGCCCAGAAAAACCGGAAAACTACTTTGAGCTCTAAGTATCACAGAATATGTCTTGTATTTGAATCCAGCAATTTAACCAATAGCTTATGTTTCGGTTCTAGGATGAAGGTCTAGATAGAAATCATACTTTTGACATAATTTTTAAAAAATATTTTAAATAGAAACAAAAAAGATTTTTATTTAAAAAATTAAATTTTATTAAAGGCGCATTTAATGCTGATAAAAATATAGGCAGTAAATAGGCAGCCATCGCTTTAAAAATTAGTGTCTAATAAAATGTTTAAGAATATTGATGCCCTTTTAATAATCGACTTTTGTCGCTATCTTAAATAAAATAAAAAAAGTAATTTTGAAAGAGCGGGGAAGATAAAAAGTTAAATAAAAATAAAAGGGCAAGCAAAGCAGAATAAAAGGGCAAGATTTGTCAGCATTGAAATACATGCATATGTTGAAATAAATCACACTATCAAAAAACATCATTTTTGCACTTTTGGGAGTCTCTGACATAATATACATACTACTATTTTAGAGAAAAATATAGTATTTTAATGTAAATTCGCGTGAATGGAGTTTGTAGGTCCTTTTATCTTCCCTGATCAATTCTTTATTTTTATTTATTCTGAAATGCCTCTACTTATGTATTCCCCCCCCCCCCTCCCTAAAATTCATGTCAGAAACCCAAAGGTGCAATTAGCATTTTGATAGAAGAGGATAAATTTCAATTAGTGTTGTTAGTGATAGGTGTAAAACCTAGAATTTTGGTTCTTTATTAATATCCCGCCCCCCACCCCTATTTGAGTCTCAGATTAATTTTCCTTTTTACCTGCCTATCATTTATTTTTCCTCCTTTTTTAACGTCAATCATTTTCTTCCCTCAAATATAAGACACCCAAAAGGGCGCGCGGCCATAAAGGCGCAAAGCCATAACTTGCTTCATGGTTTTCGAACCTTACAAAAATTAATATTAAACGATTCCTTTCATCGAGCTAAAGAGATTGATAACAAAAATGACAAGGGCCTAAAATATCCCAGAAGGTTGTGGCTTTGCGCCGTTATGGCTGCGCGCCTTTTTGGGCTTTACTCCTCAAATATCTTAAGTTTCTACTTTGCCTTTTACTTATAATATTCGAGGGAAGAAAATGATTGGTATGTATTAAAAAAGGAGGGGAATAAATGATTGACAGCAAAAAAAAGGAAAAATAATCTGAGACTCAAATAGGGGTGGGGGGCGGGATATTAATAAAGTACCGAATTTTAATAGTACTTGCCAAAAATTAAAAGTTTCTATGAAATTTTATTAACCGAGAATTTTTGAAACTGAATGATTTTTCAATTCCCCCAAAACAAAACTTATATTTAATTAATTTATTCTTTGAATTAACCAAAAACAGACGGTACCGGTTAATACCCGGTCCCCAACAACACTAATTCCAATTCAAGTAAAGGTATCTTGTCCGAATTTTTAAACAATTATTTCCAATTTTTTCTATTTTTTACTCTGATGTGAGTATAGAAACTCCGAGATTCCCTAAACTTTGTCTGTTTATAACAATATTTTCTAATATTATTTCAATACAAATTAGTTCCCTAATTATTATATAAAACAAAATTTAAAAAAAAAATTCAGAAATACATATATTTAAAAGAGTTGTTGGTGTAAACTAATTTAAATAATGATAATCTTCCAAATTATTTTTAATATTTATTCAGAAAAATAATTTGAAATTAAAAAGCTTAATATGTAGAATTTAAAAAAAAAATTTTATAAGCAGTAAATGCCTTGAATTTTTATATAAAATCTAATTATTTAATATATTGTATAGTTCTATCCGGCATTGAAGTTTCCGGCATTGGAGCAACTTGATTAATATTTGAATTATTTTTGCATCGAAAAATTATTTGTCTGTAATTTCTTACACTCAAAATTGTTACCTTTTAAATTTATTATTTTCAAAATTTAAAAATATACAAATAAACTCACAATAGGATTTAAAACAGCAACCACAGATCCCAACCCACAATTAATGAATATTATAATAGATGATGAATATAATCCAGGTAAATTAAATAAAAAACTTAAATTGGCAAATAAATTGCTTAGATAAGATAATAAAGGTAGAGTAGCCTATAAATAAGAAAATTTAAAAAAAATAAACGAAGCAATATTTAAATTCAAAAATTACCAAAAATTGTCAGTACAAGTTAGTGGCAACTTTATTAGGGATATAAGCTGAAAGCACTGTCATACTATTGTCTATATTTAACAAATCTCATTGACTTAAATTATCGTTACTTCCAACGTCGATACTAATTTGTGTTAACATTTAAATTCGGCTTTTGAATTTGCCCATTTTGTGGAATAGGCCCCAAGACTCTTAGGTTTTTCTGACTTGCATACCTGTGCTCCCAAAACAATACTCATTTGTTTATTCATATTACGTAATTGAGTCATTTGTACACCTTTACAATGACGATAAACATGTATTTGAATACTTATTCCACAAAAAACAATTATTACATAATTAATTATTGTTAATGCTGAAGCATAATTTGAAGTAAAAATTGATAGATTGCTGGTCTGTAAGTTAGGGTTGCACAAAACCGTTTAACTAAACGGTAAACGGGTTTTTTGTTAAAATTAAACGTAACGGTATACGGGTCTCAGATAAAAGCATAGACGGTATACGGTCCTTCTAAATAGCGTTTCGTTTAATTTTATCATAGAATTAGTGACTTTTTAAACGTGACTTCTTAAAACGTGACACATTAAATTTTAAAAATTTGCGCCTGCGACGCAAAAAGGGAAGAAATCTGCTTCTGGCTTTCCAAAATTCTCAAAATTTTTGCCTGCGGCGCTGAAAAAGGAAGATCTATTATCCTTTCAAATCCACAATTTTCCTTCAAATCCCGCAATCGCTCTAAATCACATTATATCCACCTTAATCCTCTAATATCCCTTCAAATGTCATTAATCTTTTTAAATCCCATTACATCACTTTAATCATTAGATATAAGATCCTGATCCCCTTAACCCTCTGATCGCCTTTAATAACTCATAATCTACTGATATTCCACCTCAATTCTTCATATATATTCAAGTCCTCCAAATCTCCAAAACCACTGATATCACTCTTAATCACCAGGCATCTCTTCAGCCCTTCCATATCCCCCTAAATCCATTGATATGATGAATTTATAGTTGAATTATAATTTTTATAAAGAGGGATGAGCAAAATTAATGATTTTTCATCGATTTTTTTGAATTATGATTTTTTTAAAAAAATTTTAAAAATAAACGGTAAACGGACTTTTAAACGGGGTCTTTAAAAATAAACGAAACGGTATAAGGGTCTCAGATAAACGGCATAAACGGTATACGGTTTTTTCAAAATTAAACGGTTTTGTGCAACCCTACTGTAAATATTAAATTTTAAAAATCAATTGAGCTCCCCGAAAGAGGAAATTCCCAGGAAACGGGTGAAGCCTCCACAGAT